ATGTCACAAATCACGCTGGTAGGCCCCGCCCCTTAAAATCAGCTTTTCAATGAGCACAGAGAAACTTTCCACTTTCAGCAGATGAATGTGAGAACATCCTTCTAGAGTCAAACTCTGCACATACAGGAACAAGAAGAAACACTGATTTTTGACTGGAGGGGAGCTTTAAGGGAAGTTGTTAAAGAGGTTCAACTCCCATTAATGTCCAGCTTATCCTTTATAGAATTAAAAAAATAAGCTGACACCATGCCGGTTGTAAACTAATTTTGTTTTAATACATGCCAGCTCAGAGCAGCTGGGGATGAGCCTGTTACAAGGAAATAAAAAACACTTCATGTTAAACATTAAAAATCAATCTGTAACAAAACAAATATCTTTTCATATTTAGCTGTCACCTGTCTGCCTGACCGCTGATTTGACTCTTTAATGGTTCCAAATGTAAAGCCGGAGAGAAAACACTGACAGTCTGTCTTCATCAGCTGAGAGACAAAGAACACCAATGCATCAATAATCTGATTTCCTGTCCAAATCATACTGAGTAAAGTTCATAAAGAGGGAACTTTTTTAACTTAAGACAGTAAAACAATGAGGGTAACAAACACTGTGCACGTTGCTACAGCACTGTATCCATTAGATTTAAGGTTAATGACCTTGAACGAACGCCTTTAGCTGACATGAGGCATCCATGTTCGTTTTTTCAGGCACTTCTGTATTATTACACTCTAAGTTAGACATATTTAAAGACATTTTAGGACATCTCAGTCTCAGAACTTTGTCAGCCTCAGAGTTAGAGCTGTGCTTTGAGCTTAATGCTAAGTGGTAATTTGCTAATTGTACCACGTTAGCATGCCAGTACAATGCCTTTGTGTTTCTGTACAAATACCAAAACTTTCTATACCTTAGTTTCGCAAATAAAAATATATATATTTTTTTTTTTCATTCAATAAAATGTGTTCAGTAATTAGTATAAATAGTGGTGTCTAACTACATTACAGTGCATAGTTACAAAAGTTAGAAAACAACCTTCTTGTTGAGGTTTAGCATGTGACATTTAACATGTAAGACTTTGGCACTGGAATATGCATTATAATAAGGAAATTGGCATGTTAAAATGCTAATGTTAGAAAATCAATGTGGCTACAGTTAGCATGTTAACATCCATACTGACAACAGTTGGATGCTAACATGCTAAGGTTTAGCATGTAACATTCACCTTTTAGCATGGGAACAAGCTAACATGTAACATTTATAGTTGACATGTTAACATTCATATTTAAAATGGTCAAGTTAGCATGTTTACATCCATTATTTAATGCGTAAAGCTACCATTGTAACACTGTCATCTCCAGGGTCTTGCTGCCAGCCTGGCTACAAACAGAAATATGTATCATGAAAAAGATCATTTTCAGTGCAGTAACGAACAACTAGACATATCACTTCATTCATATTGGCACATTCACATATCAATTTGACAATATTGGTCCCCATTCTAATTGCCACATCTCAACAGTTGAACAGATGCTTGGAGTGTGTTGTAAGATGTTGATACTTTTCTCAGTTTGAGTCTGATTGTCCCTAACATTGCTGTGACACTACAGAGCTTCATTCTCATCTGGAATTTAAAGGGCAACGTAGACATTAAGATAAATTCAGGGGAAACTGCTAGCCTAGCTCAGTCAAAAATCCACCTTCAAGGCAACTCCATCTTTTTCATTGAAGTCCCTCGGGGGCCTGTAGCCTCAGGAGGGTTTCTGCTGAGTGCAAATGAGTCCGTCAGCAGATGAGGAGGAGTAGCGTCCTTCATCTTCGTCCTTCTCCTCTTTGTGTTTCTCTCTGGGTTCTTCCACCAGCACCTTCAGACGGCTCAGATGATGCAGAGCTCTGAGGATAGAAATATTCATCAAAAGTATTTCTCTTTACAAGGTTGTTTTGAGCATTTTTTAATTAAATGGGGTGTCCTTTTAAATTAAACAATGCAACCTTTTCAAAGGAGTTTCTAAACAGAAAAACTTATTAATAAACCTTTCGCACAGCAGCCATTTTAACATGAAATAGCAGGTGTTACCAATGATACTAAATAAGGTTCTGTTCCTAAATGGAATGGAATCTTACTGACTAAATGAAGAGGAGCACTAACTCTCTTCATCCAATAGTTGTTGAGATATTTCAGTCCGGACCAAAGTGGTGGACCAACGCTGCTAGCATTGCAATGTCTCAGAAAAGGATTTGTGACCAGATTCTGGTAATATCATCCTGGTACGCAGGGATCATCAGGTTTCTACAGTGCCATTTCACTCTACAGTCACTCTGATGTTAATCCTGCTGTGAGAAGTCCGCTGTGTGGTTACCTCTGTAGTGATGGTCCACCAGGAAAACTTTCCAGCTCTGCTTCACCTTCAGGGCTCTGCAACACAAACACAAGTCCTTATAACCTGATTCAATACGTACAAAACATGTAACAACTGACCCTAGCAAAGTCTCGCCCCTTTTTGCTCTGTGTTCCAATAACAGTTAAGCAAACCTCGGTCAACTTCCTTCTTTCCTGTACTTAGATAATGCTATGTGCTAGGCTAATCTATGTTAAAAAGACCATATATATATAGTCACATCTTATATTAATGTCAGCGACTAGTTAGCTAGTGTTTTGCTATCAATTAATGCAGATGAGCTAGCCAGTCAGCTAGTGTTTTGCTCGGTATCAAAATGCCAGTTTTCTAACTAACTAGCTAATAATTGATGTAGCTTAGCTTGCTTGTTAGCTAGCATTTGACTAACATTAGCTAGGTAACGCCATATCCAAAATGTGGTTGTCTTTTCAATATAGATTAGCCTATCACATAGCAAGTACAGGAAAGGAGGAAGTTGACTGAGGTTCTGACTGAGGCTTGCTCAACTGTTACTGGAGCACAGAGCAAAAGGGGGCGGGACTTAGGAAGGGTGAATACAGCGTCCTGTGGTGTATCCAGGAGCGCTATATGAATGATGCATAGATGAAATCAATCCGATTCAGTGTTTCTTTAATCTCAAACATATATTCTATATTTTTTCCCATTAACAGAGAAACATGCTTCCTGTTGAGGCTGGCAACCTGCAGTGAGAGTGTTTGTACCGGCTTCACTGGAGTCTCCTCTGCCTGTGTCCTGTCAGTGAGCATAGGAGCGACTGATGCCTGTTGTTGTTGTCGCTGAAGCTCTGCTTCCACTGCCTGCAGTCTGAACAACATCTGCTTCAGAGCCTCCACTGGACCAGGCTGCTTGAATATGCTGTTTCCGTGAAGACAGCACCCTAGAGCCTTGGATAGACAGCAGACAAAAAGGAGCGCTGTGATCCTGGATCTGTCAGAGGATCGTGTAGGTTTCAGTGTGCCATAGGGCTGGTTTGACAGTACGGCGCGGACTGACTGTCGTGTCGACAGCCCCTAAATTAACAGTGAAGGTACTGCAGTGAATCAGTGAAAGGTAAGGGGTTAAACAAGACTAAGCCTACCTGAGCTCCTCTGTCAGTCAGAGCCTCTGTGACGCCCCCCGCTGCTGCTGCTGACTCCCTGCAGGTTCAGCATACATCACATATCATTCAGTGTGTTTAGTCACAGTGCATCAGAGCTTACGATAAAGGGAGCGTAAATAAGTCTTACAGAGTGACTGGATGACAGTGTGAGGAAGAGCGGAGCAGCAGCTCCTCGGTGTTCTCAGCTTCAGGAGGACTGACTACAACAACAACAGTTACACAAGAGATAATAAACCTCAGGACATTATTAATGATATTTGTTAATAATAAAACTTTAATTGTGTCAAGCAACTGTATCTGCCATTATCTGAGCTGAGTTTGTGGTCGTTTGAAGCTAACTGGGCTGGGGTGGGCTCACCTGAATCTGCCAGACTTCCTGCTCCTCCAGAACTCTGAGACAGAGAGTTCAACACCTGATCTGCCTTTTGGATTAGAGACTCGAGCCTGTTGTCTGACAGGAGGAAAACATATTTAGGGCTCAATAACACGCATATGATGTAGTTTTTACATCAACAGTTTGTGTTTTTTTACCTCTGAAGAGAGTTTCCATGATGTCTGAGCTTTTTTTCTCTGCAGCGAGTAGAGAAATCTGTTCAGCGAACTGGAGCCGCAGCTCTCTGAGAGTCTGCTGGCTGTCAACCTGATAAGACAGACACACACACACACACACACACAAACAATCACTGAAATAATTGGGCATAGACGTTCATTCTTGACTTTGGGACATTTGGGTGTGACAAAATAATCTCTAATCAAAGAAGCTCCTCTTCCTACCTTTTTCAGAGTATTTGACTGATCAAACTGAAAATTGCAAAGAAGTCTGATTCTCTCACCTGTGCAGGCATCTGGTCGCCATCATCATCTTCCAGCTCTGCTACCCAGGACGGAGCTCCGGGTCTGGGAGCTGCAGGTGGAAGAACACCTAGAAGAGCAACGTATTACCTCACTAAAAAACACAATGCTTATTAGACTCTGTACAGTTATTACTGTACAATTATTATTATGGTTTGTTAGGAAAACACAACACTGCAGATTTATTAACCATAAGACTGTAGGCCTAAACAGTGCAGGAGCCATTTGATCCAGCTAACGGTCAATAAGCTGTACTTCTGCAGGTTTTCTTGTTGCTCTGACAACAGTTCCAAATAGGAATGCACGGTAGGTATTAGGCTGGTAAACTATCGGCAGATAAGGGGAAATGTATTGTTGTGAATTACCACGATAATTAAATTATTAGTCCATAATAATAATAATAATAATAATTCATTTTGATTTTTTTATGCAAAACGATTGGTAGACCTTATGTTCTATGAAAGCCAAAGTACTTAAATAAATGAATAAAAGAACATCTGAAGAGTCAGAACTGTAGTTGTTGTTGTTGTTGTTGTTGTTGTTAACAATAGTGATGTCAGTTAGACTGGGTTAGATCAGAGCTATGGAATATTAAGATCATCTCAGACTAAATGATCATTATCTTATCGGTGTCAGCCATGAGAAGCAGGTAATTATCATATCGGCTGAAAAAAGTTCCATATCATGTATCGCTAGTTCCAAATGAATTTCAAAACAGCTTTGAAGAACCAAAAACTCCAGGCTTATGTCAAAGTGTCAAACATTCTGATCTGGATTAACCTGGTTCATACAGTGGGGAAATACCACAGGGCTTTTTAATGTGACCTGTAACCTGCAAACTTATGTTAAAGCAGATAAACACACTTTGTCTTTCCAAAACCCAACATTTTATGAAAGAATGAACAGACACGTCAGTCCCATGCACACCAGTTCAACTTGTGGAGAAATCCAGATCTTGTCAGGCCGGCTGTGCCTGGTAACGGTTGCTAAGCTATGGACAATCACAGTACGGGGGAGGGGTGGGGTTAACGGTCAGTTGGAAGAAAACATCTGCTAATGCTGTTAATGCATTAGTCTGGATTTAAATACAGTTTTAGGGATTCATGATAGTCTTCATACTTTCAGAGGCTTTTCTACAGTGACAATGAAACTCTGATGCAGTCAACAATATTTGTTTGGCAATAAAAACATTACATTTAAGCCCAAATGACTTTCTCAGTGAGTCAGTGACTCTATTCTGAAACATCTGCACCATTTTTTGTTTTGAAACTGCCAAATACATGAAGCAGTGATTCTGTAGGTTCATGTGGGTTCGGTAACATGGAACGATATGCAATATGTGTTATGATGCCATGTTGTACCGTGGTCATCCCACAGCTCTGACTCTGCGGGTGGTGGCGGCTCGCTGAGGTCACAGCGCTGGATCCAGGCTGGGTACTTTATGTCCGGCACACTGGTGATTCCAGAACAGTCCATGTCAGTCTTGTTGCTGGTGAACCAGTGAGGGAGGTGGAGCGACGAAGACGGCTCCTCGCACTCTGACCTCGCTGCTCGGTGTGCAGACTGCTGGAGACAGAGAGAGAGGAGGAGGTTCACTACAGCAGCAGTGAAGGAAAAAAGGACGTTTTCAGGCTGGATTGGCTGATTATTTTTTCCATAAAAAGCATTGCCATAACCCCACGCAGTACCAAAAAAATGCTTTCCAGGACATTTTCCAGGAGTTCTTCATTTTTCCACTTTCAGAATTGAAACATTAATTTGGCCACAGCACAGGCTAAAATACAATATACATTTTCCAGGACTACAAAGATTATTTCCAGGATATTTGGTCATTTCCATCAATTTCCAGGCATTTCCATGACTGGAACACTGGTCTCTAAATTTCCCAGAAGCGTGGTAACCTGAACATGTGTTGATTACTTACATTAAGACAACTATTGTTTGTTTTAAGTTTCTGGAAATGTTTTGTGTAAATATATAAAGAGTAATTTTCTTATAAAAATGCGCAAATTTGCATACATTTCCATTACAGAATTGGATAAAGCCAAGCTCAAAATGATTTTATTTTGCTGACATTATAATCAAAGGTTTCTACAGAGGGAATTGGGGATCCTCCATAAACCTGAAATTACTGTCAACAGCCATAAAACAATACATCAGGCAATGAATGATATATGATCAAAGACCTCTGTAAAAACCTTCACAATATGGACAGGAATAAAACTTAGGCGCTGCTGAAGTGGAGATTTCAGGCGAGTGAGAGAGAACACTCATTTTGAAAAACAGCTTTTAAAGATATGCTTTATAAAATGCATACATTTAGCAAGACACTACTTAACTGATGACAGTTCATAAAGATTCCTTCATTTACAGATAACTACTAGGGGAAAAATATTAACTAAACTGAAAGCTGTAGTTGTAGTTACAGCTATGGATTTTTCACAAGCTAGCTTTTACTTGGCTGCCTGTTTAGCTGCATTTCTATAGCAGCAGCAGTACATAGCCAGAATGCAGTCACTACACAGCCAAAGTGCAGAAACCACATGCAAAAACAGTGTCTCAGACCTTAAAGACAAAATATGAATGATAGTCACCCTGTAGCAGCTGGCAACATCTGGTTTCAACATGGCTGCCCCTGGTCGTCCTCTGCACCTGGAGAGGAGGAGAAGGTAATGACATGTAGAATGTTCTTTAACAGAACAGAAAACTTCCAGAAACATCGCAAAGTGCAAGCAGCATGAACCTGGAGCTCCTGGGCGTCCTGGCCGGATGAGGGTGGTTCTGGTGGCTGAGTTGGGGGGCAGGGTAGCTGCTGCTGAGTCTGTCCCAGGTTCTGTGTGCTGGTCTGGAGGAGGAGGGGCAATGTTGGGAGGCTCCAGACTGGGACAAGAGCCCTGGATCGGCAGAAGACCCGAGTCAGAAGAACTGAGACACACAGACAGGCACCAAGACTGCAACTAATCAATGCTGTTATTATTGATTAATCTATCAATGATTTATTTTATCAGTCCATTCATCATTTAACCAAACACACATTTTTGAAATACATCATCTCAAAGGGATGTGTTTAAAGACCTGGGAT